ACTTTGAACGTCGGACGGCAGTTTGCTTACGGGGTTCTGTCTTAGAACGTTTAGACGCAGAAGGACCCTCAGATGGTTGACGACGATCCCTGTCTGACACGCGTCTACAAGCTACCCGGCGATATTCAGAAAAAGCATCATCATTGAGGTCTGCACAAAAAGTGCAACGTTGAGATCACTCACAACATCCTAGACAATCAACACATAAAGCATGTGGGTCTGCTTTTTAACACTATTGCGATTCGATTTTCCCATTGTAGAAACACAATCAAACTTTCTTAGAGACAAGCACACGTCCACACGACGTAGCGACAAGAAAGAGAATGACAGGCACAGGTAGTCACATGATCATCTGAGCGAGCTGCACGCTCACGGAGATGATTGACAGGTGCTGATGTCGGAGTGGGGGCAGAGGTCATGGCGGGTCAGAGGCCAGCAAGATTTGATTCAACTTAGCCTACAGCACGTTTCCACACATGGTCGTAGAAGAAGAGAGGTGCATACCGTGAGATAGGATAAGTTTAAAAATTTATTCACGTTCTAGCCAAAGCGAAGTTATACAGTATAGAGGATCATCTCTCAGCAGCACTATCTGATTGTAAGATAACCGAAAATACAATGTGATGAAACAGGAGACTCAAACAAAGACACGCAAAACCAGTGGCATTAGTGAAGAGAAGACAAGTTCATAGCACAGGGAAGAAAGCATGACCTTCAAGCATTAATGATGAATTGTTCCCTCAATATATGTTTTAGCAGGACATCATTGATTTGGCCTGTTTTTGGGGGGGAGGGGATGTGGGGGCAGAATTGAGGTGAAAGGGCTTGACAATGGGGGTTGAGCCTGTATCCCCACCATTGTGTATACTACTCAAGGAGTGGTCACTCTCACAGACACCAGCACAAGCCCAGCATTCCCTCTGCATCCAGACTTTACGCTCCCTACACAACACGAGGTGTGGTCACTCTCATAGACACCAGCACAAGCCCAGCATTCCCTCTGCATCCAGACTTTATGCTCCCTACACAACACGAGGTGTGGTCACTCTCATAGACACCAGCACAAGCCCAGCATTCCCTCTGCATCCAGACTTTATGCTCCCTACCCAACACGAAGTGAGGTCACTCTCATAGATACCAGGACAAGCCCAGCATTCCCTCTGCATCCAGACTTTACGCTCCCTACACAACACGAGGTGTGGTCACTCTCATAGATACCAGCACAAGCCCAGCATTCCCTCTGCATCCAGACTTTACGCTCCCTACACAACACGAGGTGTGGTCACTCTCATAGACACCAGCACAAGCCCAGCATTCCCTCTGCATCCAGACTTTACGCTCCCTACACAACACTAGGTGTGGTCACTCTCATAGATACCAGCACAAGCCCAGCATTCCCTCTGCATCCAGACTTTACGCTCCCTACACAACACGAGGTGTGGTCACTCTCATAGACACCAGCACAAGCCCAGCATTCCCTCTGCATCCAGACTTTATGCTCCCTACACAACACTAGGTGTGGTCACTCTCATAGACACCAGGACAAGCCCAGCATTCCCTCTGCATCCAGACTTTACGCTCCCTACACAACACGAGGTGTGGTCACTCTCATAGACACCAGCACAAGCCCAGCATTCCCTCTGCATCCAGACTTTACGCTCCCTACCCAACACGAGGTGTGGTCACTCTCATAGACACCAGCACAAGCCCAGCATTCCCTCTGCATCCAGACTTTACGCTCCCTACCCAACACGAGGTGTGGTCACTCTCATAGATACCAGCACAAGCCCAGCATTCCCTCTGCATCCAGACTCCCTACAGCCAACACGGTCACTCTCTACCCCAAGCCCTACACACACAACACGAGGTGTGGTCACTCTCATAGACACCAGCACAAGCCCAGCATTCCCTCTGCATCCAGACTTTACGCTCCCTACCCAACACGAGGTGTGGTCACTCTCATAGACACCAGCACAAGCCCAGCATTCCCTCTGCATCCAGACTTTATGCTCACCCTACACACAAGCCCAGCATTCCCTCTGCAGGTGTGGTCACCTAAGTGTGGTCACTCTCATAGACACCAGCACAAGCCCAGCATTCCCTCTGCATCCAGACTTTTCGCTCCCTACCCAACACGAAGTGTGGTCACTCTCATAGATACCAGCACAAGCCCAGCATTCCCTCTGCATCCAGACTTTACGCTCCCTACACAACACAAGGTGTGGTCACTCTCATAGACACCAGCACAAGCCAGCAGCATCCAGACTTTACGGCTCCCACATCCAGACTCATAGACACCAGCACAAGCCCAGCATTCCCCTACACAACACTCAATCAGTGTGAGGTGTGGTCACTCTCATAGACACCAGCACAAGCCCAGCATTCCCTCTGCATCCAGACTTTACGCCCCTACACAACACAAGGTGTGGTCACTCATAGACACCAGCACAAGCCCAGCATTCCTTCTGCATCCAGACTTTACGCCCCTACACAACACGAGGTGTGGTCACTCTCATAGATACCAGCACAAGCCCAGCATTCCCTCTGCATCCAGACTTTACGCTCCCTACACAACACTAGGTGTGGTCACTCTCATAGACACCAGGACAAGCCCAGCATTCCCTCTGCATCCAGACTTTACGCTCCCTACACAACACGAGGTGTGGTCACTCTCATAGATACCAGCACAAGCCCAGCATTCCCTCTGCATCCAGACTTTACGCTCCCTACACAACACGAGGTGTGGTCACTCTCATAGACACCAGCACAAGCCCAGCATTCCCTCTGCATCCAGACTTTACGCTCCCTACACAACACGAGGTGTGGTCACTCTCATAGATACCAGGACAAGCCCAGCAACACCCTCTGCATCCAGACTTTACGCCCCTACACAACACGCTCCCTACACAACAGGTGTGGTCACTCTCATAGATACCAGCACAAGCCCAGCATTCCCTCTGCATCCAGACTTTATGCTCCCTACACAACACTAGGTGTGGTCACTCTCATAGACACCAGGACAAGCCCAGCATTCCCTCTGCATCCAGACTTTACGCTCCCTACACAACACGAGGTGTGGTCACTCTCATAGACACCAGCACAAGCCCAGCATTCCTCTGCATCCAGACTTTACGCCACGGCTCCCTACACAACACGAGGTGTGGTCACTCTCATAGACACCAGCACAAGCCCAGCATTCCCTCTGCATCCAGACTTTACGCTCCCTACACAACACTAGGTGTGGTCACTCTCATAGATACCAGCACAAGCCCAGCATTCCCTCTGCATCCAGACTTTACGCTCCCTACACAACACGAGGTGTGGTCACTCTCATAGACAGCCCCAGCACAAGCCCAGCATTCCCTCTGCATCCAGACTACACAACACGAGGTGTGGTCACTCTCATAGACACCCTACACAACCCACGAGGTGTGGTCACTCTCATAGATACCAGGCACAAGCCCAGCATTCCCTCTGCATCCAGACTTTACGCTAGCACCCCTACACACACACAAGCCCAGGTGTGGTCACTCTCATAGACACCAGCACAAGCCCAGCATTCCCTCTGCATCCAGACTTTACGCTCCCTACACAACACGAGGTGTGGTCACTCTCATAGATACCAGCACAAGCCCAGCATTCCCTCTGCATCCAGACTTTACGCTCCCTACACAACACGAGGTGTGGTCACTCTCATAGACACCAGCACAAGCCCAGCATTCCCTCTGCATCCAGACTTTACGCTCCCTACACAACACAAGGTGTGGTCACTCTCATAGACACCAGCACAAGCCCAGCATTCCCTCTGCATCCAGACTTTACGCTCCCTACACAACACTAGGTGTGGTCACTCTCATAGACACCAGGACAAGCCCAGCATTCCCTCTGCATCCAGACTTTACGCTCCCTACCCAACACGAGGTGTGGTCACTCTCATAGATACCAGGACAAGCCCAGCATTCCCTCTGCATCCAGACTTTACGCTCCCTAAACAACACGAGGTGTGTTCACTCTCATAGACACCAGGATTAAAGTACTGTCGGAAATAGAAAAAAACTGTTTTTAGGCTGTTACTCTGTATCCTTAATATTGACACTATTGCAAATAGCATATGTCGAAAAAAACCACATTGGCCTAACTGGGCAACCCTAACCTAACCCTGGGCATTCAGTGGGATGCGTAATAGGATATCCAGAAAATCATGTTTAAAATCAGGCAAAACTTAGAAAAAATAAGAACAGCTGCTGAAAAAAGTAGATCAGACTATAGATGGCAATTCGGTCGCTCAGCAAGGTATGACGACGGACCATCAACTCACTTGGCATGAAATGCACGTGCTGCGCACAGACACAAGGGGTCATCTCAAATATCTTTTATGCTCTTTCATGTGTATTGAATATGTCTCCACTGATTATCTAATCTTAGCTTATATCTCTATCCCCAAGCCCGACCCCAACTAAAGTCAGCAACACCCGTCTTGGTTTTGCTTTTGAGACGACCCCTCCTACCTGTTTCTTCTTATAGTGATAGTGAGACTCAATGGTATCTATCTCCTTAATAGGTTCAGTATTAAAGTTGTTACTTTTTACGTCTGCTATCCCTTATTATGAAGCTAAGTCTAATTTCAAAATGGACATTCAAAAAGTGTCATTTGTTATACAATATAATCGCACAATAATTTGCATAAAGCCATGGTCTGCTCCAAATAAGTCTCTTCGGACTTTGAAAAACCCCGCGTTGCTCATTTCTGCACTAATCTCTCCTCAGTAAAATCCTGGTTTAACGTTTCCTATCTCCATACCACTGAGACTGTAGTTAGGCCGAACTTAGTCCAACAGATATTTCACACTTTCACACATTAACTACCTAAATTGTAGATATAAGTGTGAAAAAACAGTTTTTTTCTATTTCCGACAGTAATTTAGTCCAGCATTCCCCTAGCATTCTAATGCACTCAGTGCTCTGGATTTTCCCAACAATCCCCTTTTGTCAAGACTTACCCTCCTCCCTCTCGAAGTTGATATAGGCCTCTGTAATGGATTCTGGCCAGTCAGTGACGGAGTTGAGGGCTTTCTGAAGCAGCTTCCGGCAGTGCTTGCTGTCTCCACACATCCTGAAACAGTCAGGCAATGGTGTTTCACACAGACAGAACACATTTTGGGCAGAACTTCCATTTAGAATAAGTATCTACTATGATGGATTGGTTATATATTTCAAGTCAAGTCATTATCCTAATTTTCCATAACAACCTTTCTAGTCTGTAGTACACTATCTCATCTACCTCTCCAGTCTGTAGTACACTATCTCCACCTACCTCTCCAGTCTGTAGTACACTATCTCCACCTACCTCTCCAGTCTGTAGTACACTATCTCCACCTACCTGTCCAGTCTGTAGTACACTATCTCCACCTACCTCTCCAGTCTGTAGTACACTATCTCCACCTACCTCTCCAGTCTGTAGTACACTATCTCCACCTACCTGTCCAGTCTGTAGTAAACTATCTCCACCTACCTCTCCAGTCTGTAGTACACTATCTCCACCTACCTCTCCAGTCTGTAGTACACTATCTCCACCTACCTCTCCAGTCTGTAGTACTCCAACCACATGCTTGCTGTGCTGCCGTGCCCCTCAGTCATAATACTGTTCCACAGCTGTCGAGCCTTCTCCATATTTTTACAATATTTACCCTGAATTCATAAAAACAGCGAAATCAGTAGTCTTCATTTCAGCCATGACCAGGGCTGAATCTACACATTCTGAAGTTGCACTGTTGCATCCTGAAACTGTAAACTGTGACCTCACATTGATACCAAAGTGCACCCAGGGCATGTTAATATTTTGCTGTTCCAAGAACACATACTTCAGCTGTAGAACAGACTGCTGAGGAACTGGCATGGAGCAGTGACTCTGACAACTTTACAGACAGTGAATGGATGACTGTTACTGTTCTTTTCAGGAAGTAAGATAAACAGATCTTATCACACCCAGAATAATTTTGGCATCAGAAGGTTCTAAATCATAAATGCCAAAACTCAAGCAGTACTGGTAAATCTATATCAAACCACAGTGCAAACAGTTCCGTCTGGTACAACAACTCTATTACCAGAGGTTGCACTGTGAACGACTCAAGCAGTACTGGTACTTCTATATTCAGCCACGTGCAACCTGTTTCTGCCTAGTTCAACAACTGTATTTCCAGAGGTTGCACTGTGAGTGACTCAAGCAGTACTAGTACTTCTATATTCAGCCACGTGCAACCTGTTTCTGCCTAGTACAACAACTGTATTTCCAGAGGTTGCACTGTGAGTGACTAAAGCAGTACTGGTACTTCTATATTCAGCCACGTGCAACCTGTTTCTGCCTAGTACAACAACTGTATTTCCAGAGGTTGCACTGAGTGACTCAAGCAGTACTGGTACTTCTATATTCAGCCACGTGCAACCTGTTTCCGTCTGGTACAACAACTGTATCACCAAAGGTTGCACTGTACGTGAGTTAGTCTTATTTCCCTAAATCAGGCCATGCATGTCTGCTGTCAAGTACAAGCAATTACAATTTGATCAAAATGATTTTCTAGTTCTTGTTCCAGTGGAGGTGAAATCCCTGTTTTGAGCTCACCTCGACCACTGCCCAGAACTGTCTCAGACTGCCTGCTGGGTCACCCTCAGTCCCGAAATCTGGAACAGAAGTCAAGACTTTTAACAACATCCTGCTGAAGGAAGTCCTTAGCGACAAGCTCTCTGTAGCCATTACAGGGTAAACAACATCCTGCTGAAGGAAGTCCTTAGCGACAAGTTCTCTGTAGTTATTACAGGGTAAACAACATCCGGCTGAAGGAAGTCCTTAGCGACAAGCTCTCTGTAGTTATTACAGGGTAAACAACATCCTGCTGAAGGAAGTCCTTAGCGACAAGTTCTCTGTAGTTATTACAGGGTAAACAACATCCTGCTGAAGGAAGTCCTTAGCGACAAGTTCTCTGTAGCCATTACAGGGTAAACAACATCCTGCTGAAGGAAGTCCTTAGCGACAAGTTCTCTCTGTAGTTATTACAGGGGTAAGGACAACATCCTGCTGAAGGAAGTCCTGCTAGCTTAGGCGACAAGCTCTCTGTAGCCATTACAGGGTAAACAACATCCTGCTGAAGGAAGTCCTTAGCGACAAGTTCTCTGTAGTCATTACAGGGTAAACAACATCCTGCTGAAGGAAGTCCTTAGCGACAAGTTCTCTGTAGCCATTACAGGGTAAACAACATCCTGCTGAAGGAAGTCCTTAGCGACAAGTTCTCTGTAGTCATTACAGGGTAAACAACATCCTGCTGAAGGAAGTCCTTAGCTTACAAGCTCTCTGTAGCCATTACAGGGTAAACAACATCCTGCTGAAGGAAGTCCTTAGCGACAAGCTCTCTGTAGTTATTACAGGGTAAACAACATCCTGCTGAAGGAAGTCCTTAGCGACAAGCTCTCAGTAGCCATTACAGGGTAAACAACATCCTGCTGAAGGAAGTCCTTATGGCGACAAGCTCTCTGTAATTATTACAGGGTAAACAACATCCTGCTGAAGGAAGTCCTTAGCGACAAGCTCTCTGTAGTTATTACAGGGTAAACAACATCCTGCTGAAGGAAGTCCTTAGCGACAAGCTCTCTGTAGCCATTACAGGGTAAACAACATCCTGCTGAAGGAAGTCCTTAGCGACAAGCTCTCTGTAGTTATTACAGGGTAAACAACATCCTGCTGAAGGAAGTCCTTAGCGACAAGCTCTCTGTAGTTATTACAGGGTAAACAACATCCTGCTGAAGGAAGTCCTTAGCGACAAGCTCTCAGTAGCCATTACAGGGTAAACAACATCCTGCTGAAGGAAGTCCTTAGCGACAAGCTCTCTGTAATTATTACAGGGTACACAACATCCTGCTGAAGGAAGTCCTTAGCGACAAGCTCTCTGTAGTTATTACAGGGTAAACAACATCCTGCTGAAGGAAGTCCTTAGCGACAAGCTCTCTGTAGTTATTACAGGGTAAACAACATCCTGCTGAAGGAAGTCCTTAGCGACAAGCTCTCTGTAGTTATTACAGGGTAAACAACATCCTGCTGAAGGAAGTCCTTAGCGACAAGTTCTCTGTAGTCATTACAGGGTAAACAACATCCTGCTGAAGGAAGTCCTTAGCGACAAGCTCTCTGTAGTCATTACAGGGTAAACAACATCCTGCTGAAGGAAGTCCTTAGCGACAAGCTCTCTGTAAATATTACAGGGTAAACAACATCCTGCTGAAGGAAGTCCTTAGCGACAAGCTCTCTGTAGTTATTACAGGGTAAACAACATCCTGCTGAAGGAAGTCCTTAGCGACAAGCTCTCTGTAGCCATTACAGGGTAAACAACATCCTGCTGAAGGAAGTCCTTAGCGACAAGCTCTCTGTAGTCATTACAGGGTAACATGTTCATGTAGTAATTCATCCTGAATTTGGAAACTGAAAACGAAAATGTAATTTTCTGAATAAAATTGATATTTTATACTTATCCTGACTCATGCTTATTGCTTGTCTCCTTCCTCTTGCGAACGTTAGTGGAACACTTGTATCTTCTATTTAAGCTCACTTCAATAAAAACAGACATAAAATCACCACTCACCATGAGTTATCCGTCTGGCCGTTTTGGCGGGAAAAAGTGGCGCCACCGCTCCCACATGCTTCACTCTCTCCGATTTATGAGCCTGACACTTGAATTTACAGGGAAATCCAAAGTGTTTAGTGGGGAGGTTGGGAGGGCTTACCTCATGAGTCAGGATAAGTATAAAATATCAATTTTATTCAGAAAATTACATATTTTTCTTTATCCTGACACATGCTTATTGCTTGTAGAATCCGTCGGATTGGTGGCGGGTCAAACTACTTCTGGATTTCATGTAGTGATTTACGTCTTGTATACCCCTCTATGGGAACTTCTTGTTGGCACTTCTATGTTACTGCTAGTCTCTGCTGCTGCTGCAACCCTGCACTTCCAGCTGTCTCTGACGGGGGGACCACTATTGTTAACGTTTGGTCCTGGCTTCTGTTAACATTTTATGTGGATTTTGCGACTCCATCTTTTGATGCAAGCATCAAGTGGAGAAGCGACCCTTTCCTGTACGAGTATCCTTACAAGTACTGGGTCATATCACTTTATGCTAGTCTGTCCTTAGACGTGCATATAGACTCTAAAGCTGAACTCTTCCAAGTGTAGGCTTTTGCAAGTCATGTGATAAAAGGGCGAAACTTCGTCTCAGCGCGCCTTTGAGGGACTGTCAACTGTTGTGCAACAACCAGCGGGCCGAAATGGGGAATGCCGGAGACGTCCTCGGTGGCAATGTCCCTCAGGTAATGGTTGGCAAACACCATGTTCGATTTCCAAAAGCAGCCCTCCATTATCATTCTGATAGAGCAATTCCCATGTAGAGCGAGTGTTGACGCCTGAGCTCTAACTTCGTGTGGGTTGGAGGCTCTTGGAGGATCTAGTCCTGCTGCTTTGTAGGCCCGTAGTATGACAGTTCTGATCCAGATCGATATCGTAGTGCGGGAGACCTCCGTCTGCGTAGCTGTCGATATCGGGACAAAAAGACGCTTGAATTTCCGTCTCCTGGTCCTGGATCTTTGTAGGTAGATTTTCAATGCTCTGACTGGGCACAAGGATAGGTCCTGCGTATCCTGTGGTCCTAGGACTGATGATAGTGTTGGGACGTGGAAGAGTCTGTCCGGTTGACCTGGCAGTTGATTCTTTGCGATGAAGTCCCATCTCAGTCCCACATGCACGGTGTTTTGATTTTCATCAAATCGTGTTCTCTCGAAGTCCAGAGCATGTATTTCCGACATCCGTGCTGCTGTTGCTAAGGCAATCAGGAACAGCGTCTTCTGGGTCAAGAACTCGAAGGATGTCCTTTCCAATGGTTCGTAGACGTCACTGGTGAGATGTCGGAGAACTACGTTGTGGTCCCACGCCAGAGCTTTGAATCTCTGTTGTTGGTCCTCCAATTTAAAAGAGCGAAGGAAGGCCAGTAACTCTGGTACTTTCGTCAATTTTGCACCCGTCCTCATAGTGATGACTTAGCTCAATGCCGCTAGGTATGTTGAGAGTGTTGACCCTTTTAACCGCTTCGTTTGTCGTAGGTGACAAAGGTAGTCCGCCACTTGAGGGGGTGTCGCTGTAAAGCCGTTCCTCGCAGCGTATGTCTCGAAACGTAGCCACTTGTCGTCGTACAAGTTGCGTGTAGACTTGCGTAGAGCTAGTGTGCCTGCTTTCGCTGCCCTGGCGGAATATCCTCTCTTGTTAAGCACGCCTTGATACAGTCCACACGTGTAGCCGGAACACCTCTGGGTTGCCGTGCACCTGCTTTGTGTGAGGATGTACTAGTAGATTCTCCACTCTGGTAGTTGCAGTTGAGGCAGTCCTAGTTCTTGTATGAGAATGGGGAACCAAACTCTCGCTGGCCAGTAAGGCGCGACCAAAATCAGTTGTAGGTCCTTCATCAGGCTGATTTTCTGCAACACCCTCGGTATTAGAGCTGGTGGTGGAAACGCATAAGCGTTTAGTCCTTCCCAGGATATGCTTAGAGCGTCCGTTGCCCATGCAAGATCTCTGGATGTAACATCCATTCTGTTGGGGATGGCTGCGTTGGACGAGATAGTGCGTCTGCTATCACATTCTTGGCTCCTGGAATGTGGCATGCTCTTAAGTGGATGTTCAGGTTGTCTGTTATGCTGAATAGTTGAAAGCAGAGGTCCAGGAGGTTCGCCGATCTTGTCGATCCTTGCCTGGTGATGTAGAACGCCACCGTGGAGTTGTCCGTATGCACCATCAGATGAGCATTCTCCAGAATGTTTGTCCAGTGGAGTATGGCGTTGAGTACTGTTTTCATTTCCAGCATGTTGATGTGTAGATCCTTCTCCTCTTTGGTCCATCTCCCAGCGAACACTTCGTCATCGAGGTTTGCTCCCCAACCTTGGAGTGATGCGTCCACGTAGAGATGCGTCGTGCACTCTGGCTCTGCTAAATAGGTGCCTCCGCAAACATTCGATCTCTGGGTCCACCAAAGGAGATATGGGCGTAGGGCATCTGGGAGTCCGAAGGGTTCCGGGTCGTCCAGATGAGTATTGACGAAGACCTGTAGTGGGCGTAGTTGTAGTCTCCCTATTGCTGTCATGTCTTGCGCTGACGTGAGGAGACCCAACAGACTCTGCCATTGTCGTAGTGGCCACGGAGAGAGTAGAGCTTGCGAGATCCTCTGTTGTATTTTGAGCCATCGGTCCTCTGGTACCACTATGCGGTTTTGTGTTGTCATGAACTGGATTCCTAGGAACTGCAGGTCCTGTGTAGGTTCTAGGTCCGACTTGAGGAGATTCACTAGCCACCCCAGTTGATAATCTCTGTTGAAGGCCCTAATGTTGTAGCTGAGTCGGAACTTTTCTTTGCAGTTTTTCTTTGGCACTAGGAAAACTGGGGAGTAGAATCCTGGTGAGAGCTGGTCCTGGTCCACCACTTCTATGGCTTCCTTCTGTAGCAGAGATGTGATCGCTTCTATTAACCTCTCTGTCGAGTGGGCCGTGAAGTCGAACTTGTGAGGTTCGTCTGTCAACGGCGGAGTTGCTTGCAGTTGTATGCGATATCCGTCTCTTAGGATGCTGGATACAAATGGATCTTGAAGGATTCCCC